TATAAACCCGAACAAAATAGGAGGATTAAATGGATTTATTTACTCAGTGACCAAGTATTCGAGGATATTATTTGAAATAACCATCCTTTGCTTTCATGTAGCATGTCATAAGCAGCTACACGAAGCGGTTAGTTATCGTGGCAAACGCAGTTTCTAAGGAAATTTAGCTAAAACGTGATAATCAATCTAGATTATTAAAGATTTTTAATAAAAATTGCCAAAAATATAACTTTCTTTACGAATCTCCAAAAAGAAACATTTCTTTCTATCATCGCCATTTTGATGAACACATCGACGTGTGGCTCTTTCCAATATTTATTTCAGATAAATTGATTCTACTTCTATTTCGATTCTCAATGAAATTAAAAAAAATAAAAAAAATAATGAAATATGCTAAAGCAGTCTGGTTATTTTACAACAAGTGAAAGACAATATCTAATATCAAACAACACTTACTCTAGCGCAAATCTATTCACTTTTTTCTTTTAACGTCGTTAAGTTAAAAATACCACCAATCTTTTCACAGAGTTATTTCCACACAACGTTCGTTGCTCGTAGCGAGAAATTTTGCGACGAACCGTCGTGATCTCCGTACGTATACGATGGATATAATCTCCTCTTTGGTCCAGGTGGAAACGGTTTAAAACGCAGCGGCGAAAGCAGCCGTTGTAGTACATAATTTTGTCACGGCTTACGTGAGCGGCGCACGTGTCCCGAATTCCGGATCCATTATGAATTCGCAAGATCGTCGTACCGGCAGCTCTTATGCGTACGAATTCGATCGCCGCTCGAAAAACGTGGCATGCAAGCTAATTATCGGATTGACAGTGAAGCTCACCCGGTTCAGATCTGGATTCCGGCTGCGGACTGCTTAGAACTTGCCGGCTCCCCGATGCCTGCGAGGAATCCTGTGCAACATCGAGAGAATAAGTTCCATTTTCTGTCGACGCTAGATGGCGTTCGGGTTTTAGTTGCTGGATTGGGGGATCGAGTTCAATGTGTGATTTTGTTGTCATTTAATATTATTTTTCGATCTACGGTATATAATTAATTAGTTACACGAATCGAGATATGTAATGTAAGTTTATTAGACACGGGTAATTGAAGTTTTTAATCTAAATTGATAACTTAAGTGAGTGAATATGTTGTTAGTATCATTTTTCATATCTCATCCAAAATGTGTCTACTTGACATATTTCATTATTTCAATATTATTTATAGTGTAGTAATTAAGTCAGTAATCTAGATATAAAATATATAATATCGTGCATTATGAAATTTTTGGACTTTTAAAACTTTCTTTTTGTAATTCGAGAAATATTTTGTTGCACATTTATTTAGAGATTTCGTTGTCGAAGATCAATTTAATATTCCACGTTAAATCTAAATTCTATTAGATTGACCATGATAATAATTCGTATGAACGTTCAAAGACAATTAATTATAATTTGTCTCGTAATGCTATTATCTCAATTCCATTTTGATTCGATAATGTCACGTATGATGCAAGAAAGATAATGAGAGCTATATAGCCTTTGGATGTTTATCTAATAAAATATATATTCCCATAACAAAACGATACAAATATATCTTTTCCATAATTAAATTTCTCCAAATAGATTAAAATTTTTGAAAAATTTATGATATACTAATAATATTGTATAACACTTTATACATTTAACAATGTTTATATAAAATTCATCCAGAATAATTCTTTTCAATTTTAACTACTTTTCTGACCTTCCATTTAAATCCATCTTATTTCATTCTCAACATTGATCAACACAGAATAAATTTTCAACAGATAAAGATCGATTGTCACTATACATATAAACAAATCAACAAGCCAATGCACACGAGTCGTAGCGTGGAATAGAATATTTATACGAAATTTTCCATTTATTTTCATAGGCGCGTGCCCGTATGAATTAAATGGAATCTATCGATCTACGTCCACTCGAGTCCATTTGTGGTGACCTGTCGTTTCCGCTTTTCATTTCACCCCCGTTATCGGTAATCCATAAGTCCCTTTGTGATAATCGCAATCTCGACGAAACCTGACCCTCCCTTTCGTGCACGTTTATGCTGTCAATAGATCAATATCTTTTTCAGGGGATGTGTTTGACATTGGCTCCACTCTGTACTTAGAAAAGGGATACGAGACATTCTTTCTTCTACGCGACAATTTCGATTGCTCCATGTTTGTGTTAATTGGTTTGATGGATCGATAGTGTAGAGCATGTTGGATTTTCATGTAAGATTCTTCTTAAATATTTGTCAAATTTTAATCCTTTAATCAAGTTGGTGATGCATTGCTGAAGATGAAATCACTTTTATTATCGAGAATAAATAAAAGAATTATTAGATCGATTATAAAGTAGAATCGTTTACTTTTCTTCTCAGAAAAAATCTTACGATCAATAACAAGATGTAATAAAGAGTTTGCACACAAAAATTGACGTAAAAAAATGTTGGTTGAGCTTTATTCATAATTACAATATTATAACATTACAACCTCAACTCAATTTTCCTATTTGACTTTTGATCTCTGAAATCTTTAAAATTTTTCCAAAGGGAAAAGGAAAAATAATATCGATAATTATCAAAGCTATGATGCAGGGATCTTCAGGAAAGGAATATCAATTCGCAATAGAAGACGGCCTTTTTTTCTCTTCTTCTTTTTTCGACCGGTTCTCGATGAATTCTTCGACAGACACGATAAAAATAAACGAGTAGTAGTGGAGTAATGTCTAGCCCGAGCGTCAAGATGAGATCTACGTAACGTTCTGCGGCGGACAGATAGGAGTGCCAGATTGATCGAAAGCGCAAAATATAATACTCCGTATTGGGTACTTTTGTTCTCTGATCGAGTATATCAAGTATTCTGGTCGAGTAACAAGTGGTGCACGCGTCATGTCACGTGTCAGGCGCAATGCACATTGCACACTACGACCTGGTGCCTTTTACATGAAAACAGAAAGATGAATATTCCTTGTCGATAAAAGTCCGTACTCTTTGCTCCTATCCCTTCGTCAATCTGTTCGATTCGATCGTACGTGTTGGTAAACTTTTATCATGCGATTTCTTTCTTGAATTTTGCATTTCTTTCTTTCTCTCTTTTTTTTTTGTAATCTCGATCTTTCGACAAATCTATTCTTAGATTGGATTAAGACGCGGGAAAATTCATTCGGAAGAAAAATTGTTATCAAATTATTTTAATATCGAGCAAAGATGCGATAAATTTTTATTCATCGTTGATTTCGTTTTTAGATTGTAAATCAAAGGGAAAAAGGAGATGAATGAAACAACAATTCATTCGATATATTTGATTGGAACGATCGTTTCATTGTTTAACGCTCTTTTTTAAAGTTTTCACGACATTCCATTTTAAATTCTGATCAATCTGCGTTTATGAGGGCAGCTTATTGTTGAACGTATACATTATTCATGAATATAAGCAGCAATAAAGCTGTTTAATTAAAATAATTTGCATTATATATATAATTAAAATTAGCCAAAACTGGCAAGCGTTATTAGATTTCAGGGCGGCAGTGTAAATGTCGATCTCTAAATTCAAGGAGAAAAATGAGGGAATTTTCGGGCAAAAATATGGCGTTCTTTTGGTTGGACCGACAGACGTTTATTAAATTTCAGTCCGTTGCAAACGTTGCCTCGAGGAGATTAAACAATTTTATTCCTCGCGTCGAGAATCTTTCTGTTAAAATTGACGGATCAATTAGAACAGGTTCTCGTGATATTCTTTTTTTTTTTTTTTTTTCTAACGTGGTTTCAATGTATTTATGTCGTTGAATACAAAATTAAAAATTGAAACCAGAGAGTAACGTTGAACAAAATATTCTATTGTCAAACTGTTCCATTGTATTTTATCCTCAGGATTTTATTGATTAACTATTTTAATTAATTATTCATGTTTGTACGAATTTTTTTAAATTGATATTTTTTTGTATAATTGCAAAATTTCTATTTTCATATTCAAATTTATAAACGAAAAAGAGAAAACGAAATTTTACTCGGAATTAAATTAAATTAAGAATTTTCAATTACATTATAATATATTATTATATGTTATTGTTAATACATATGAATATATACATACATATGCATCCAATCCATGTTTTCACAGACATTTATTAAAATTTTTTTCTCATTAATTACATTTACTTGCTTCAGATGTATTTATTACAACTATCTATCGTCCATGCAGGCATCACTCACAAATATAATTATTTCATTCAAACATCGCAGAGTTGTCTATATACAAATGTATAAAAAGAAGAGTATCTTTATTATAATATTACTTATAATAAATAAACTGCAAATGTTTATTTCAAATTCATATTTTTATGAATACAAGTAAGAAAAATATTACGTGTATATTTTCGTGTATTTAAATTTCTTACATAAATGCAGTCTAATAATAATCCTTTCATGACAATGAACTCTTCCAATCCATACGAACTATGATATGTATTCGATACCATATTTACTGAAAATTTTCTTGCGACGAGACAAAGTATAAATAACTTTTTGTAAGAAAATAGAAATCATATATTAATACATCGCGTGATTCCATTTAAAAAACAAAGTTGATCTTCATATCACTTCTACATTATTGTCTGCCCTTCTTCAATTTTGATTTAAAATATTTTTCAATACTATCGAAAATCAAATTTAATTTGTTCAACCTATATATTGATGAGAATATAATGGATCATTATTATTACAAAAAATATGAAAAGTGGAAAACATGTAGCAAGGTTTCATTTAGAAGGATTAATCTTCCATTGTATTAGATGGATTCCATCATATTAGATCGTGTTATATATGATGACTTTACGTTTCAATTTATAACAATGCCTAGTTAACTATGAAATTATCTTTACCTTACCAGGCACTATTATATAACCTTACAACATCTCTTCCACCCCTGTATTCAAGATTCGAAGCAAAATGCCACATTAATATATATATATAAAAAAAATACACAGTAGTTAAATTAATTTTTCTCGAGTCCATTGCGCTCGTTGCCCTTTTCGCTCTGTTCAACACCGACGTAGTGGACGCCATTTCTGGCATCCTGACGCCTTTGCACGTCCTTCGTCAACAAGGTCATGATAAACCCGATGAGCAGCGCTATACAAAGGCCCACGTGCACCGGAATATCCCCGTACACCTCGAGCAACCGACCCATTATCAGAATGAGGACAATCCCGTAAACGTTATTAGCCACGTTCAAAATTCCCGCCGTTATCCCCTCGGATTCCGGATACGTGTATTCCGCGCACATTTCGTATCCTAAGGCCACGTATCCAACTAAGAAGTACCTGCGGAAAGTAATTGCGTTTTAGAGGCGGGTTGGAATCAATTGCAGGTGAACGAGTTCCACTCGTGAAAGAGAATCTCGTGGAGGACAATTTTCGACAAGTGGTGTAATTTGCGAAATATGGTTAAGAGAAAATAAAATTCGTTATATTTTTGTTTTCCATTTGTTCTATTAATTTGATTTTGATTTTTTGGCGACTCGATATCGCTTGATATCATCGATCGAGCGTTGTAAATTGTGCAAAAAATTGACTATCTATGTACAACTATGTTTTTAAATTTTAATTTTAATTACCACGAAAAAGGTATATATTCCTTATTATAATTAGCTTGATTAAATCCACTGAAAGTTAAAAAGTTAATTAACAAACTTAACGCGAACGAAATAAAATCTGATTTTATATTGAAAAAAATATTTGAAACGATGATTCGATATTAATAAAAACACGGCGATATATGTGTTTGTATACAGTACCCTAGAAAAACGGAGCCCAAATACACCATCCATTTCATTTCGAGGAACGTGAAGGTAGAAAAGAATATCTGGCCGCCGAGTGAGAGAAAATACACGATCACAGCCGTTTCCCTGAAAGTATATTTCGTCCAGTTTCGTTAAAAAATATTAAAAAAAAAAGAAAGATACATACATAAATATAAAAAAAAAAATATACGACAACGAAGCGCATGTTAAAATAGTGAAAGTATCGAGAGGCTGATCCATTCTTATATCTATAATTAAAACGAATACGATTAGCATTGCGAATTTAGAAACATTGTGAAAATTTGATGATGAACGTATGCGTATAATGTATATATTTCAAGCGTATTTGTTCGTCTTTAATCGAATCGAATATTCGATTAAATTATTGATATTGAATATTAAATATTAAAACGATCTCCAAATATATCCTATATTTTTATCCTATATATTATTCATTCCGTATTTAAGATGGATCGTCCATAATACTGGATAAAATAGTATTCGATAGAGACTAGTTATATCTGTAAATATTCAATAATTATTGACAGTAGACTCTGCTTGAAATATATATATATATATCAAAAACTCTTTGGCCAATAAACGGCATGATAAAGAAGAATAAAATAAAATTCATGCAACGATAGAAGAAGATAATGGAAAATAATTTGACAAAAGCGGAAGGATAAATTTTCATAAAAATTTTCTTACTTGTACTTATGCGTTTTATCGAGAATCACTCCAAAACTGACAGAACCTATCATCCCTGTAATGATCAAGACCAAACCGATTCTACCCGCGTCTTCCTCACCATTCTGTAAAATGTTCAACGTTTCATAATTAGAATAACTAATCCTTTGTAACGTTGATACATCCAATGTTCGAATTTTTTAAAAATATTCAGTTACGTGATATATAAATATTCAAATATCAAATGCGTCAATAAAATTGTACCGTTTTATTAATCAGCTCACCTCGAAATGCGCGAGATATATTTGATTCAACAATGTTCCTACGGCGTTCAAAACACCGATACTCAAACCATACGAATTGCAAAGCGACATATAATACTTGTTCTTGAACAATCTCTTAATTGGCTCTATCAAACTTTCCTCGACCTCCATTTCATTCAATTTTTGAAGAGCTCGTGTTTTACTCGGCGGTATTTTTGGATCGTCCTCGAATACTGTACAGAATAAAATTCCCTAAATAATTAAATTATCAAAATAATTTTAAGAATTTTTATTACTTTATAAATCTTGTCAAAGGAATTTTTTCGTTATTTCTGGGATATTAAGAAGGGATTTTGTCGACATTTCATTGTCAAAAGTTAAAAAACGATTCTTTTCTTAGAAATAACTTACGTATTACGATCAGTATAAACACAACTGTCAAGATGATAGCTACGCCCCAAAATAGATGCGACAAGCCAGCGCCAATATCCTCTAGATCCTCATGATTTTTCACGATTATCGGTGTAATTAAGAAACTTAAAGCTATCCCCATTTGGTTGCCAAAAATGCTTAACGACGTAGCCGTGGAAAGTTCGTCGGCGGCGAACCATTGCGCTGCCAGACGTCCGGGTAACGTTAGAATTATAGTCTGAGACGAAGATAAAAATAAAACGTATATCTAATTTATAAATAATAATTAAAAAATTGTACATTTGTCAAATAAGATAATTAACATACAACGTATATAAATTAAAAACGATGACTTATTATTACTTCTTTGTATAATATCTTAAAATAAATGTTGCGTTTTCTTTCTTTTATTTTTATCACATATTGATTATAGACTTGGAAATAACAATATATCTCGGAAGAGAAGTCACAAAAGTTTCATTAAACTCGAAATGCAGTCAGTGAACGAGCATAAATCTTTCTACAGAGATAGTGCCACCGGGTTAAATCCATGGTGCATAAAGTTCGGCCAGACTTGTAATTCCTTGCATTAGCAATAATTTACGACACATTTTCACATATTCGTTTCTACCATGTTTGTGATTCGCCCGATTATTGCAACATTGTTCGATCTCTCTTGTTTGGGCAAAGCTTGCGAGCGTAATCCTTGAACACGTGAAAACTCGATTTTAAATATTTTCCATGAAAATTGCGCGTGCAAACTGATTAAACGTGTGTACGAAATAATAATAATTAATGTAGATATAATCGATTGTGTTTCGAGTCGTATATTACAACCGTTGTTTACCGATTGATTTATTGTGTCGCTTATCTTTTTTTATACTACTTGTAACTGGAACGGTCTGATATAAACAGTGTCATATCACTTGTACCACACTTGTAATCGTGTGTCATTTTTATTCTTCTTCTTAATTTCGTCTAGTTTTTTCATTTTACTCGAATCTTATCGAAAATTACCGTCTTTTTTTAGCATTTGATCATTAATATAATATAAATTATATACGTTATAAATTGTTATTGTTATTTCTTTTTCGGTTTTAATTTTATTCTCCTGCTTTTCGGCTTTAATGTTTATGAATATAACTTTTTCTGATTTTAATTTACTTTTTTTAAGAAATCGAAGCGATTACTTATTTGTAATATAATAAATATTTTTACAAGTTACAAGATAAATTGAATAAACATTATTATTGTTTTTGAAATGAATGAAATCTAACCTGTGTAGAAGCAACCAAGGATTGTCCAATGAAAGTGACCCAAAATCTGTCAGGGCTGACAGATAAAACCTTAATCCACGAACCAAGGCACGTGACACAACATCCTATAATGTTACTCCATCTAAGTCCCCATCGGTTCACCATGTACGTGGCAGGAAAGATGAAAATCAGGTAATAAGCCATAAATGCCATTGCTGTCCAGTCGACAGCCAATGAAGAGACGCCATAATATCTGAGAAATGTTTTTACTTTCAAATTTCGAATTTTTCTTTTTTCATATTGCTGAATTCTATGTATTCGATTTATGCATATATTTTTTTCAAACCCAATTTCCTAACGAATCATAGTAAGAGAATAAAGTTGTGTTTAACTTAAGTAATATCATTCTATTGCCTATTTGAAATTTTTTCAATGTTTCAGAGATTTAGAAATATTTCTAGTAGATTTCTAGATTAATCATTTAAAATGTTTTTTTTTAATAACAATTGAAATGACAATTAAATTATTTGAAAGTAAAATGTTGATAATCTTTAAATGGATCCAAGATATTGTTATACAGGATTAAATCAAATGATATCATACAGATATTTTTACATATTTTGAAATATGATATTGAAAAACATGCTAATTTGGAAGAATTAATTCGTTATCTTTGCTTTGTCATTTGGGAAATGGAAACATTTTATTGTTTGCTTATTTACTCTATTGTACATTATCTGTTTGCATTTTGTATTAAGAAGAATGTATCGAGAGTATATATAGAATTTGTTTGAAAAGTCAATAGTTAATTTTAACGTAGACGACGAACATGTTACGAGTTTTTATTTGGTTTTTGATAGAGCAAGAGGAAAATTTTAGGTCAATCGTTGTCTTGTAATTCACTTCCTCCGAAGAATATAAGAAAATATAATTCTTTATGTATTTTGAGATGCAATAAATGCAAAAAAAAAGAAATTACAAAATAAAAAAATATTGATAAATTATTTAATTTTAAAAGAATGTTTCGATATCAAAACATTTTCTTTTCAACAAAAAGGAATACTTAATACTTTTTTCAATTTATATAGATATTATGTATCACAATTCGAAAAAACAAAAAGTTCAAATACCTGCTCACTATATTGCTGACTATAGAATATTGAATCCACTGGAAGTTGCTCATTCCCGTGTACACGGTAAATAAACTCAGCATCAGCCATCGTTTCTTGTAAACCTTCGTTTCCAACGAATTATCATTGCCTTTCTCATTCCCATTCATCGTCTTCACCACATTCTTCACGCACAATACCTCGTTCAGATCCTTCTCGTCCGTCATTCTCACCCTTTCAAAAATTCTCAATCCTCCCTCTCAATTTAATTAAAAACGAATAACAGAAACTACAACCACGATCAAAATCTTCATCAACAAATATTCTACATATATATATATATGTCCAACCTGAAAAACCTATCCCTAATCAGAATTTTTTCATATTCTATAACCTAAATATTTTCTTCTACAAATTCTTCCAAATTGTTCACGCGTGTCCTCCTCGATCGAACAACTTACGAAACTTCGATCTTTTCCATTCACGATGCACACTTTTCACGATTTCTTTTCGAAAAGCTTCGTGCTCATCACCCCGACAGCGAAACCATTCCTGCACAGAGGAACGAATTCTTCGAACTGGATTCAAAATAATCGCGTCTCCATCTCCTGGATCGGAGCACACAAGTGTCTACACACAAGTGCCATCGCCTTATCTCGATACGCGATTAAACAAGAGATCGTTCTTTATATATTTGCGACTGGCTACCTTCCGTATTTGTCGTTATCGCGATTTTTATCGCGTCTCGCGTCGATCTTACCTACGAATCCGATCGATCCATCCTTCAGTCCATCACGAGATCGTCTATCGATCACTTTTGATATACCCCTCATCGTCCAATAAAATTTGTCGATTGTGAGGGCCTCGTTTCGCGAGGCTTCTCCGCATTTTGTTTTGGGTGTTGGTAAACCGATTACAGGTTTTGTGAAATTCGTGACGAAGAATTAAGACTCTTTTACGACATCCATCAACAGTATGATCTCGATGCAAACAGTTGGAGGAACACAAGTATTAATCTTGGCGCTTGTCTCGTGGTAGCGAGACGTTTTTGAGGAGAGAAGAAAATAATATCTGGCGCCATTTTATACGATTTGTCGGTTTTAGTCAATGTTGCAATATTACGATTTCAAAATGATTGTTTCGTTCTTTTGTTGTTTCTTTGTTTGGATGGCTTCTATGAATTGGTATATTCTTCTAACGTGTTTGAAAAATATTATATTTTTTTTATTTGAAGGAATTGATTTTGATATTAATTTTATACTATTTATATTTTGATCCATTCTCGTTTTAACGGAAGATAATAAGATTAATCGATTGAAAAATAGTAATTTTAAAAGAAATCTTAAATTTTTTTAAAACAAAGAAAATTAATAATTAATTATATAACATTAATGATAAAATAATTGTTAAACAAGTCTTCAGCATATATTATGTAAATAGATATAGAATCTCTGATAAGTTATATAATTGTAAGTCTTGCTTATCGTTGATATCTAATTTAAGCTTCTGTTTACTTTTCCATCAATATTTTCAGATTTCGAATCTCGTTGATTCTCCTATTCAGGGAAAAGTGTGACAAACAATAAATTAATACGCTGATACTGTTTCGATTATTCTTTGTCAATGTTGTGCAATCACAAATTTAAATTTTAATTCAATACATCTCGTGATCGTTGCAATTGTATAAAATATTTTAATTATGTTCGTAATAGTAAATAAATATCGTATGTAATGAATATAACAGAAGTTTATTAGATATTACATTTTAACAATAAAGACAATGCAAATCTGAGGCTCTCTTTGAGTTACATAAGTTTATAATTTATTACAAAATTAAACATCTCCGACACAATCCTCTCCATAAACTTCGAGACACTCTTAAATGCATTAACATCAAACGGTAACATTAAAAAACGGTCGGAAAAACTATGAATGACTGAGTGGTGCACACGGAAATTTTTTTTTTATTTTCCATTGTAAAAATATGTGACATTCGCGCGTGTGGTACAGTACCAAAATTTCGCCCTGCGATTAGAAAAAATTATTATAGACGATTATTATAAATATTTCATTTGACAAAAAAAGAAAAATATCACTCGATTAATAAAAAATGTATATTAAAAGAATCTCGAAATCAAAAAATTATATACATATATATTACATAATATTAATATTAATATTAAATAATAATTTCCCTTAAGAATAAACAATATTATAAACAACTTCAAAATTTCGCCAAATTCTACAAGATCCTCCTTAATTCCCAAAATTAAGAAAAAAAAAAAAAAAAATACACGAATTATTATATACATCTAATTTCAAAATCTGTTAACAACTTTACAATTTCGATTCTCATTTGCCTTATTTATATACGTATATACACAACAGACTCAACATTATTATTTATCGACTCTAACTAACTTCTTACGAAAAAATATACTATCTGCTCTGAAATATTTAATTATAAGTATCGACACGCTTCGTACGACACGCAAAACACGGTTGTCGTAGTTTAATTTTAAACGAGGCAGGCACGCAATGTCGGTACTCTACCACATCACGCTTACCTTAACATTATAACGCGCAGCATCGCTCTCTTCGTCTCTCGTTTTAAATTCTTTTTTTTACTCCCGATAATCGTTCTATCTGTACACACGCATACCACGTACCTGTACCATGCCCCAAATCATCCGCTCTCGAAACGAGCCCTCGAAAATATATTACAAACGACGGATCGCTATCGTGTTACGAAATTGAAAGAACAAGTTTTGTTGTTTTATCTCGTTATTTCGTACGGATTAATATTAAAGTGTCTCGTTTACATGTATATATAATATATATATATATTTATATATATATTATTTACAATATATATCATACATTTAACATATGTCATCTAACGTGTATTAAATGTATAATATATTTTATAATATATTAATAAATTATATATAATATATATATATATATATAATATATACAATTATATATATATATATTTATTTATTTGTATTTGCATTTTTATATTTATATCTATACACATTTATGTCTAACGATTACTCGTATTGTATACAATTTATTGTTTATTTATTACTATGTAAACGTTTTTTGAGACTTTAGTCCGGTACAATTGATATTTTTATTTAACCTGTTAACGTATGTATGCACGTTATGTATTACAAACTATTCAATTCACCGAGCAACAGTTCACACAGGCCGACGCTCTGAATGTAAAAACACGTGGAAAAAGGTTACTTTTTTTTTTTCTTTTTTTCTTTTTTTAAGTATTTTATAGTTCACTTCTTTTCAATATTATATTATTTCTTTCAACCCTATAATCTCAATATACTTTTCACTTTAGATGAAATTTAAATCTCTTATCCGATTCTAGTTATTTGGCATGTTAAATTTATTAATTTCGAGTTTAGAATTTTATCACCGAGGAGACTTGATGAATTTCGAGTATTAATGCAAGGGTTAACGAGATATCGGTTATCTTTGGCTAGTTGATTTTTAGCAATCATCAATTCGTGTATTTTCGTCTTTGATCTCGACGAATGTACCTCTTATCCTTGGTCGAGAACCCAACTTTCGATCGAATAACACACACACACGAACACATTTTTAATTTATCTTTAATAGGAAATGAAAATTTATTTAAGAATTTAGATACGAGGCTCATTGTGTAAATTTTTGTCTTAGTTTTCCACCTTATTACTATAATTATGTAAAAGGATTTTAAAATTAACCCATATTAATGAATTCGATTATACACTTTTACATATAAAAATAATTTCGAACTATCCAATTATTTTATTTCTAACTTTCAACAATAAATCTTGACAATATTATCAATTAATATTATTGTGCAAAAATTACATATTATGATTACTATCGATAAAGATTCGTGAAAAAAAGAAAGAATAATAATTTGACCTTGTCTTTATTTCTCAAGAAATATTTTTTACTGCATCATATAATGAGAAACAAGAATTTCAAAGGAACCAATCCACAAATCACAATCCAACCAGTTCATTCAAAATATAACCTTAAAATTTCCAATAATAATTCTCAAATTTTCTTATAATAATGCAATAAAATTTGATCAAGAAAAATACAGCAGTCGTGATACGTAATTTTTATACACCCTATATATATATATAAAAAGAAGTAAAAGATCATTCCATCTTCCATTCTCAAAGAACAAGCAGAGGAGGAAGAGCATGGAACGAAATAACCACGGCACATCGCCACAGGAATCGAGTTCCCCTTTGAAAGCGTCTTTGGCCAAACGTTCAACATCCCTCCACGATTGAAATTGATCGAAAACGGCCGATCGCCTCGATAATATTATTTGGCACGGTTCGACGTGTTTCGTGTGCGTGTGTTTACGGCGCTCGTCGTGTGTACAAACGCGCGTATTCTCGCGTTAATTCCCTTCTGGCCGGGAGTACAAGGCTCGTACAACCTCGTACAACAACCCGCTGTAATTTCTGTTCCTTTGAATTTTAACAATACCATATTTCCCCGTTGCCACCACCGGATCTACACCGTATAAATAGTTAGGGATTTTCCTGCAATTGAATCCTGCTCTTTGGCTTCTCTTCGCGTCTCGAAACTCGCTCGAAATTCGACGCGATTTTCCATTAGAAAGTTATGATATCTCTCCGACCTGTACGGTAAGTTCGTACACGTTATTTCAGACAGCGGATGTCTAATTGGATTTAGCATTGTGGTGGAGCGATTTGTGGTTCTTCTTCTGTCGGAGAAGAAGAAGATGGGATGTCGAGGATTTGAACGTAATATAATATTGTGATTTGTAATTTGTGAATGTTTTTTTTTTTGAAAAATTTAATTTTAATTTCAAGATGTGTTGTGTATGCTATTAGAGTAGTGAAAAGTAAGATTGTGCGATTAATTTTTAATAAAAATTCATTTAGTAGTAAAAGATAATAAGATTTGGAAAAGATAATCTTCATAAAATTAAGTTTTGACGTGATGCAAAAGAATCGAAGTCTTTTAAGTTTTTCTTAGTTTAATTTATTCATATAAAATTATCTTTATTTACGAAAGATTTTTTGAGTAATTTGCAAATACAAAAATAAAAAAAAAAAAGGAATGAAATTTAATCGTCTATAAGCAGTAAATCGAGTTTCATAAAATAAATCTTCTTTATTGAAGTTGACTTGGTGAATACATGTTGAACTTGATCCCATCACTGTCAAACAGTTTCGAGAAATTTGATCGTGGTGAATATTTGTTTCAGACAATTGTTCGATGGTACTTGTTTTTTTTATCCGGAAAAAATTAAAAACAACAGAGAACGTTATTTCTATGACAAAATATTCTAATTCTCGATTAAAAATTTGTTGCTGGCCGCAATAATTCATTTTAGATTAGATTTCAATTTAATTCAGTAAATCAATTTTTACATTTCTACATTTTCAAAATTAATCTGACAATTAATAATTATTAATATTCAATTTTAGGATTTATTTCAACATCAAACAAACTTACTTCCCCCCACATTATTTCCAAAGCAAAGATAACGAAGTAATCAAAATTCATTATTTCGAATCATAATCACTCACTCTTCATTTTAAATAAAACATTATTATTCAAATCCATTTTGAATCATATTATTTATCAAACATTCGATCAAACATCATTCATTATATATATAATATTAATCCCCAAATTACAAATTTATCGATTCCAACCGTTATCACCACCAAATTCTATGTTAAAATTGTATAAAAGACAAATTAATAATGACGGTCTTCGAATATGTCGAACCATTCAGTTGGAATCAATTTTGGGCAATCAATTTTTCCCTGCTGGAAAAACACCGGTTTCAAAGACAGAAAAATACGATTTCACGGAAATCCAGCATCCATCTGACGATAAACCGGTATCCTCTGGGTCTCAGTGTCGCACACGATGCGAACTTTGGATGGCGGCATCGAGGAAACATGGTTACAAGAACGTGAGATCGATCGGTCGGTCGGTTGGTTTCAGCGTGAAAAATCGGCGAAAAACTTTCTCGAAACGATGACAGTTGCGTTCTCGACATCCTTTCCGTCGTTTCTTCTCCTTCTTTCCTTATTTTTTTCGTTTTTTCTTTTTACTTAATAATTCTTTTCTTTCTTTTTTCTTTTTCTTTTTTTTTTTTCAAAATTTTCCTCATCGATTTTTCTTGCAAACGATTTTTCTTCTTTTCTGTATAATGTACAAACTTACAAACGGGGGAAGTATTTATGTTACAAAGAATGGAGAGGAGGAAGAAGCGAGGAGAAATTTACTTTACTTAATTATAGATATCTCGGTTATCTCGTGGCGGATTCGAGGGGACACCCGCGAGAATTCGAAAATGGCTGCGATATGTGTCGAATTTTTTTTCTTCTTTCTCTTCCTTTTAACATTATTAACAAGATATTTTATATATATATATATTTTTTTTCTTGTATATTTAATATTTAACGTTTAATCGATCGTTTTCGCCCCTTTAGCCACGTTTAATTAGATTTGATCCCAGAACACATGGTAATTAGCTTACAAACGTACCATTTATTTATAATTTCGTACGAATCTTTGTATGTATAAATTTACAAATAATTTTCCGCTAGTTCTTCTGTCGTGGATCCTACCGACTATCAAGTCCTTCGAGCTACGGGTATCGATAATCGTATATCGATCTTGTGTAGGCCTTTTGGTCGTTTTTTATACCGAAAGTCTTGCAGCAAGTGTAAAATTACGCTCCATCGATTTCTCAATTCGAGGAGAAGTGCGCGAGATAGCAAAAGGATGAAAAGGAAGACGAGTTGGTGAATAATTGGTCTGGAAGAATGATGAATGATGATTCGTTCCTTGGTGCAAGTCGTTCGGGACACGACCGGGAAATAATTGTATCTTTGGCTTCGAGATGGATCAACGAATTTGCTGTGCGATGTGTTTGAAGGTTGAATGCGTGTTGTTACGTTGGAAGAATCGATTTATTCAAAAAGCACTAAAAAGATTTCGTAAAAAACGTTTTTGAACATTTTATAAACAATAATGTCAATTTTTTATTCTTGTGTCTTGTGAGGTTTTAGATTCTTTCGAGTTTGAAAATTAAAAAGTTTGTGAATAATCTGAAAACAAGGGTTCTTTAAATTTTTGTATTAGAAAATTTGAATATTTGAAGTTTGAAGAAATGGAAGAGAATAAAAGTTTATATGAAAATTTGAAATCTCTCTAAATCTCTCTTTTTACAAATATTTTTACAAGTTGAAATCAATTTTTCTATCGTGGATTTATTTAAATTTTCAAAATTGGAAAATTTAAGAGTATAAAATTTAGAAAAATTTCTTTCAACTTTGTGAATTTCTTTGAAGTTAAATTTTATATTTATTTTCCAATTATGCTTGCAGGCATTTTATTTACTTTATGATGAATCAGATACAAGAATCGATTCAAAATAAAGCCACGTTTCAATCCCAAACCCAATCGCAGCGAATTCGTCAAAACGAACTGAAAACGAGGTACTCATCCGCAATAACATCAAAGCTCGCCAGAAAAGCTTTACGTAACCAACACTGAACATTAATCACAATTTTATACTTTGTGATATTATGTATATATATATATATATATATGGCCACAGGATAACATTTGTGTAAACATCACATTGAATTAAAAAATTAAAAAAAAAAAAGGATCAATTTAATCCTAAATTGATATCTTTGACTCATAGACAATTTTAAACACGATAATTTGACATCAGATTTAAATATAATTAATTTAATTTTTACCTGTTATTTTATTTAAACACAATGATATACAATATATTTTACTTTATATTACATTATTTTCAAAACTAATAATTTCTCGACATAAATATCGTAATACTTTTTTTTTTTTTTTATAGAAAATCATGAATTGTTATTGAGATCACTTTTGCAAAAACATCTCTTCATAACTTTCCTTAATAAAATATATTTCACTGTATTTAAATAAAAACAGACATCTTACGTAACAAATTTCACTAACAATCTTCATCAGACGGAATATAAATTGAAACAAATTACTTAAAATGAAATTAAATCGAACTCTTGATGAATCTATCATCGTCTATGATTTAACAATATCAATCGAGGACCAATTAAAGTATCAGAAAGAAAAAGGAAATAGAAAAGAGAAGAATAAACAAAACGGCAAAAGAGATGAAGTAACAAAAAATCAATAATAAAAAAGTTAAAGAAGCTCTTCGTTATCGTCCGTGACACCGTACATTTGTGGCCGCCGTTCCTGAAGTTGTCGTTGCTGCTTCAGTGCTTGTTGCTGCTTCTGGAGGAGCGCGATGCTTGCAGCTTTGTAGTTGATCGGCCCGTAGGAGCGGTAGTCCACGTCCGCGTAGTCGAGATCCGAAAATTCCGGCTTGAAGGGCTATGTAAACAGAACATTACAACGGACACCTTAGTCTAACGTTCTTCGTTCTACGGCAAACGCAGGGAAGCGCGCGTAACACCCTCCTCGACAATGTTTCGGTGCAGACACGTTTTAGCCGATGGAAATTTAATATGGAAAAGAGCGAAAAGAGAAAAGAGTGGAAAGGTATCTCGTTAGACGGTATTTGTTTCATTTATAAATATCAATTGTTTCTTAACTATATACTGTGAATAATAATAATAATAATAATAATAATAATTTGCTTTCTTTTCTTGAATTCGTTTAAACGGATGGGTGGAAGAGGGGCGTATGTTACAAATTTTTTGACAATGAAGTTTTTCGTGGAACGCGGGCCATTGTGATGGCGGTTGGCAAAATTTTTAGTGCTCGACAATGGCGCCAGAGGTCAGAAGCTGCATAGAAAAGGGAATGAATAATGATGAGGAAGTGGAATAAGGGCTTATGTTCAGACACCAACTGCTTCTTTCAACTGCTACAGCGAGCAATGAATAGTTCTTACGTTTTTCTATAAATTTCATGAAGAATATAAGAATTCTATAGAAATTGAATTGCTTCAAATTTTATGATTGTATTTTTCTGGAAATTCTAAATTTAAATAGTTTTGATCGTTTCATTATCATGTATGAATTTTTAATATTCAATAGTACATCTTGAACGATGTTTCTTCTGCTATATATATAACAAGTGAATTCTAATAATCAAGTAATACTTTCAGTATCAATCTAATACTATAGTATCATATCGCCTCTTTGTTTTAGATGAATCGAATTGATCCATGGGAATTATTCTTGGTATTCTACTACTGTTCTGTCTGTACAACAGAATCTCAGCTATGTTTTGTTTAATGATAGATGGTAGAAGTTGGAGGTATTGTTGGCCACGTTGTGAGCGCGTGTTAACAGAGATAATTGAAAATGCTTTCTGTAAACCGGAAACGAGTAAGAATCGGTTGATTTAGTTCAGATAAGATTAAACAAACCGATTGGAAAATCAATTGGTATGATAATTGAAATAGTATTTAATGAAAATGGTATTGTGCGAAGTTAATCAATCAAAATAAAGTATAAAAATATAGTATGAAATAAGATTAACATAGAAAGTTGATAATATTGCATATTAATTAATCTTGGAGATTGATAATATTACATATTAGTTGTATAATATAATCAAATAATGTAATAGTTAATTGTAAAATGTATAATAATTATTGTGCCAGTAAATAATAATAACATGTATTATTAATTATACTCGCAGAAATAAATTATTCTAATGATTAGATTATCTATTCGATATTTTGGTAATTAACTCACAATCAGATATACAAATTGTTTACATATTTAATGCCAATTAGTAGGATTCAGATATGTAATAAAAAGGTCATTGATATAATGCAACTGAAACAAATGATAAAAATTATAAGTAATTTCAATAAGAGAAGCTCTTATAAACATGATGATGATAATATTAACTGCTTTTACATTATGGTGTAAAGAAGATTAATCAAATATGAATCTAACTCATTCAGAATTATAAAGTTTAAAGTTTAAAACTTGCAGTGAATTGATAATGATCATAAAACCTGATACCTCTAATTTTGCTATGTATAATAGCAATTTCAAAACTTGTAAAACTATGAAATATATTCTTAAACTTGTATACATTTTTAATGTTATGAATATGTAAAATTCAGAATAATTTACTTTACAAAAAAAGATGGTTTGAAATATACATTTTATCAGAACCATATTATCTTTTCAAGTTTTAACCCTGAAACTTTACTCATCTCATTTTCTTATCCCTTTATTCATCATCTTCTTGCTTTTTCATATCTTATCACTATCTTTATATGATTAAATATTAAGAATGACAATTTTTATCAAAATGTAAATTTGGTTATTCTTTTCGTTTTTTGAATTTTTTTACATTACTATTTAATTTTTATAAAATAGTTGAACCATTATTTAACATTTCATTAATTGTGTATTTTTATATTGAGATTGTTCGTTGTTAAATTTATTTATACATATTAAATTTCTATCTATCAGTAATAATTAATTTAATGAATTTCTTATAATATTAAATATTTTGTTAATTATAAAATTTGATGGTTAAATAAAAAAAAACGTCAATTAAACATAATTATTTTTAAATTGGAAAATAATATGGAAGCACTATAATTTAAAGAAAAAATCGATAGTAAAATAAAAATAAATAATGAGAAACGTGTATACGTTGGAATAAGTTGGGATCAAATGATTATAACATCGAAATAAATGTACAAAATGCAAAAATTCAAATACTATTTGTATATGATAAATGAAAGTCCATATTTTAGTAATATAAAAATACATGGATGGAAAGGAATTAAAAAATCAAAATAGTGAATAATGCGTATATATTTCTATGTATCGTTTCTTTTTTATTTTCTTCCATTATATTTTTTAAATAATTGTTCTTTTATCAATCTTGAAGCTTAAATAAAAATTATCCATAAATTCTAAGGGACAATAATTTTACCATGCTTTATAATATCTTTCTTTTTAGTTAAATCGAATTAAAAATTTATTTAAAAATTATTTAAAAGGATTATTGTAAAATTTGGGAATAAATGGAAATATAGAAAAAAAAATATTATATTTTCTCATCGCAAAAATTATATATTATAAAAATTTGAAATGATGAGTTTTTATATGTATAATTAAGAACGATATTAATCGTCATAATTTTCTACCTTTTACGATTTCATTGTAACTTTGTTATTTGTAATTTTTCAAAAATAATAAAAAATATTATCCTGTATATGTTCAAGAAACCGAAAGTTATAACGTTATAAATTTGTTATAAATTTTAATTATGAATTGATCGTGAATTATATCATAATAATTTAATATAATATAATAATTTATAATATATAAAATTTTTCATTATGTATGATGCTTTGCAATTTATTTATAATTATTTTCATTATTTATTATGTAATAATTATAAATACATAATAAATATTAATTATAATAAGTATTGATTAAATATTTATAATTTATTTGAATAATTATAATATGTACAAGCATGGCTTATCATATTTAAAATTAATAATTAATAATTTTTTATACATCTTAAAATATTCTATCAATTAAAATTATCATCGTAATTTTATTTCTATATAACGAATAAAATGCAAAAGAGCGAAAGTGTCTGATTAATATCGTGGATTAAACGAGTGTCTGACTACGTATAATGTGTTACTACTTCCAATTCTTAGTCCTCTTACTTCCTCATATCGTTTTGCCTATTTCTCATGTTTTAATAATACATGTACAAAATACTAAATTTTCTATGCTTTAAGTGCTTTCATTGAAATTAACTAAACCAACATTCTTCTTTTTAATGAAATGATTTCAATTTTTTAATTAAAACGAGGTTTCGAGGTTCAATGGAAAACAGATATATTTTCATAAGTATAGAGAAAAGCAAATTAAACATCTTTCATATTCATTGAGAATGCAATACGAAATTATATATCTCTTTTAAATAATATTACTTTATTCATCAAAATATACATGATATTTGTACGAGGTTATGGAATGAATGAACGAATAAAATAAAAAACTGAATATACACGTGACATGTGTCTGTCAAATATACAGATAATTTTTAATTTTAGAAAAGAAAAAAAAAAAGGAAAATAATATCAAAACATTAAAGATCTCAATATTTTCATCTATCATCTACAAACGAAAAAGTAATATTCTCGCGATTTTTATTTTATATTAACGTTTCCTTTCCTACGATTCACGATGGCAAAACTTGAAATTTTTCGATATTGTAAATGCATATTGTTCACAGATCGAACAACGAGGAAAAGGCCACGCACGGCCAAAAATAGAACTACCGATATGCCGATATTCTGTCTACGTTTTAAAAACAGGCATCATGCTAGAATGCGGCTCGTCCCATGGAGTTATTGTTGCAATCACTCTAATTTTGGCATGCACAAATGAGCTGGGTGAAACGATCATCGAGCGATGATGAATCGTATTCAGGTTAGAATTATAAGGATTTTTCTTTCTTTCGTGAACGTTGTAACGAGAACAACTATTTTTCGTTTGTTCAAATGTAGTATTTTGTTAATGCACAATGGAGTATTCGATCGATTTAGCTGATTGAAAGTTGATTTTGATTTAGGTTAAATCATTGAGATTAAAAATTGATCGTCTCTAATAATGAATGTGTGTTTTATCGATACATTTCCATGAAAGTTAATTATACTGAAAATTATAAATGTCAAGATGGAAAAGTGAATATCATAATGTGATTAACTAATTTAAATTTTAAGGAAATATGTTTTTAATAATTTTAATAATAAAAGCAATATAAAACGAGTAAAACGTTATTGAAAATAAAAATCGAGTAATTCATGCATTTGTTATAACAAGATACAAAAAATATTTAGTTAGAGTAATAGTGTAATAATATAAATTAACTATGTAATATAACAATATTCTAACTAAATCATGAAATAATAGTCCATTGCATAATTTCACTATATAAATGTAAAAAATGTAATGCTATAAATACTTTAATTTTCTGGATCTTTCATAAGAAGTTGCAATTAAATAGAAAATGGAATCGTGATTAAAAATATATCAAACAAATATTTAGATATTTATAACTGTGATATTAAGAAAATAAACTCAACAAGTTAATATTAATGATTAATAAATTAACAAGTAAGTACTAAGTTGCATTTAAGATTTCTAAACATCCAATGACTTAAGTACACGAGAGTGTATTTTCTGTGTTAACATTTTTTTAAATATGTTTAAATTTACTTATTATTCTATTTTTTTATTGCGTTTAAAAATCTTAAAAAAAATTAATGTTGTAAATAAACTATACAAATAATTTTTACCAGCTAAATTAGATATGTAAATATTTCACTGTGCAACAACTTCTGCTCAATATTTCGCGAAATTTAATTGAAACGTTTAATTATAATTTCTTTTGCGACATACTAAATAAATATATACACACCGTGCATATATTTCATCCATTACAAATTGAATATTTCATAAAAATTAAACTGCGAAGCTCATAATGTCAAGATAAATTTCATGCTGTTTCTACCCCGTGTAGATAAAAAGTTTGTGTATTTAACTTTTTTACTTTTTCTCGTTGCATGCTGCATATTGATAAGACTTTGATTTGTGATTAATCATCCTCCAGATGCAATTTCGTCTAAATAAAAGAAGCCATAGTGTGCTTTGTGGATATTAGGACAAATGAATCCTTTGCACTTGTTAATTGATTATTTAACATATTAATATTTTATTAATTTGAAAATATTATAATATTTAAGGAAATTTAATTATTTAGATAAGATTAGAAATTGAAATAAATAAAATGATGGATAAATTATATAACAATTGACAATTTTGAATCTCGAATTTTCGGAAATTATTATTATTGTTTAGACAGATATCGACAGAATTTGTAATTGGTGGAAGTTTTTAATTTGAAACACCATCTATTGGAAATTTGAGTTACACTAACGTCCATAAGTTCGAAGTCAATAGTTTGTTAAAGTTTGCGATTGGGTTTATTACGCGTACGTGACCTTTTTGCTACTTTTCTGGCTCAACTTCTTTCATTCATCTGCCGAGTTCGGGGAATGATTCGAAACTTTGATTAAAAATAAAAATATTCCATTTCGAACAAACAAATTAAAAATTTCCAATTTTTGTTAGAAAACTAAAGCAACTCTTAACGTTTAACGTCGAATTAATTATTTCAAATTATTAATTAATCATTAATAATACATTAATAAAGCATTATTTTTAAATTGCTAAAAATTGACAAATTTTTTTTTACTTTCCATTTTTCTTGAATTTATTTAAAAATTATTGAAATATCATTCGACACACACTCGTTAAAATTATTGGAAATATTTGAAATGAAGATTGATTCAGAATTATTTGAGATATTTAAAATTAATTCCATCGTATCTTTCATTCAGATATGATTTCTATTATGTAATTGGCGTCACTCATCGATAAGATATTATCAATTTAAAAACTAGCACACGATTATAAAAAGACCACAGAAAAATATAATCTTACGAGACGACTCCCTTATCGCGACAAGAATTCGATAACGCACTTGAGAAACTTATAATTTTATTATAAGTAGATTTGTGAGAACAATTAACAAATAGCGATGGGATATAATTTTATATTTAAATTTAAAGATTCGAATTATTGTGAAAAAAGAAATAAATTTCATAAATAAATTCAAGTGTTGTAAGATTTCCAAGTATAATTAAATAGATCAAATAAGTCTTCTGTTTATAATATTAAATAGTAATTGATTTCTTTCTACTCGATATATTGATTATTTGCACAAAAAGATTAGCAATTGGAAGCGTCTATTATGATCAGCAAAGATAAACAATTTTAAATATTGATAAAATTGAACATTGAACTCGATCCCATCACTGACAAAAAATAAAATATTTTTCTGAAACTTATGGACAATGTACGAAATTCTTTAAATTAAAAAAAAAAAAAAATCACGAGACAAAGAAACGATCCTCCAATTACGTTTCGCGATTTATCGCGATTAAATCTTTTCTCAGCGCAATAAATTTCAAAAATTAATCGAATGAGAACGAAATGATTTCGAATTTTCCATTCGTTCGAAAATATTGAACAAATATTAATTTCGATCAAGTCCCTTTTAACGAAATTGTTGTAACAACACCAAGCAAAATATTTGTTGCACGTATGTAAGTATTTTCAAGTGCAAAGGATTAACAACTACAATATCGAAAGCTTCTTCTACAAATAAGAGGGTTCATTGTCCGTACGTTGTTACGCGTACGTTTGAATCGATCGCCATACTGATAACAAATCTAAGCAATACGACGTAATTCATAGAATACAATGTACCTACAAGGCATGTCGGACGCCAAAATGTCCTAGTAAATGTACGTATCGCTCTTTGTCTGCTGACCCTCCTACGAACAAACATTTAGATACAATTGTTATGTATATGACAGCGTCGTGCATCATTATGATTGCAAGGGACACCGCTTGACTCTCGATTTAAAATTTTCCTACGACTCTCTTTTGCTGGACCGAAATCGATAATTATCAACAATGTATTTGGAAAATTTATCAGAAGATGGATGATACACCCAATGTACCGGAGATCGACGATAGAAATTTGAAAAAAATTATGATATAAATCGTTTTGTGAAAATCTTATATTGAACATTGGATGTCGACAGAAAATTTTAAATTTCTGTTTATCTTTATTGAATGATTGAATATTCTGGAGATAATATTAATAAAAATTGGAAAATAAACGTTGGAAAAATATATTGAATAATAAAAGTAAAAGTATATCGAAAGTATATTTTATTTCTCGAGGAAAAAGTAAATCGAAAACGTATGAATGAAAATTTTTGATAAAAAGATTTCCTTTTCGAGAAAATCGATTATAAAGTTTTATGCAGAGAAATGCATGGAGAAATAGAGTCAATTGAAGTGAAGTTTCTTCGTACTTAGATCATATTGTGATCATAATTGTAATAATGTCATAATTTATTGCAATTTTATAATCCATTTTTCAGTACACGCATTGATTTTCTCAAAAACGAAATTATGTATTGAAAATTGTTATTCTATATTCTTTATCTTTGCACAAGGAATCATCCTTTGTATATCTTTATAAATATTTTGTTCAATATATTTTTTCAGCATTTATTTTTTAATTTTTCTCTTCGTTAACGTTGTTAATTAATTTTCAAAATTTTTTAATTACTCAATAAAGGTAATAAAAAATTAAAGGTTTTCACGCTTATCCATATTTAACGCCATATTCAATATAGATTTTTATAAAACAATTTATTTCAATTTTTACGTTTTTTTCAAGAAAGATTTTGCAACGTTATTTTTTATATATTGAATAATTGATAAAACGCATGAAAATTTGCAAAAGTTTTATGAGGAATTCGTATGCGAAAATTTTTCAATTCATTTGAAAAAATTTATAATATTCGCGTAAACATAATGCCACTGACATTCATCAGAAAAATTCCTCTGTGAAAATATTTGTTTTATATATCGTACAATTTACAATTTGTTTCATTCACATGAGATTTTCTTTTTCGTTTTTAATTTTTTTTTTCTTTGAATACAACTAAGATACTTACCAATAATATTGCTGTCGATACGAGAAATAAAAGATAAAAATGGTAATTTTTATTGAAATCATAAAACGGCAAGCTGAAAAGCGTATGCAAAAAAAAAAAAAAAAGCAAACAAAGGTAACAAAACACACCCAAAAACAAATGCAAACGAAAAAAGGCGGTTGCATTGCATAAAAAATATCAAACTTCAAAAAGAATCAATGTAAAAGTACAACATAACGTAATTTAAAAATAAAATTAACTTTTCCTACCTTCCTTTAATGTTGCAAAATTAAGAATCCAAATGATATTTAACAAAGTTATCTGATAATTGATAGTAACCTAAATTTATTTTTAACAACAATGAAAATATTTAATTTTTCGAAGAATATATAATTTTTTAATGATATTTTAATCGTAACATTGATTAAGAATTCACGCTGTAGATTATAAATATTAGGAAATTTTTCACTATTTGCTATTTCAAATACATATTTAATAAATTTAATAATATTAATATACTTTCCTCTAATTAATCCTTTTGCATCTATGAACGAGATAATTAAAATTGTTTTTAAAGAAATAAAAATAAAAACATATTCTATCTTTGATCTTATTTATGTTCATCAATTACACAATCATTACACAATAATTCATCGATCTTTACACATTTTGATTTCAAAATCTGATTTCCACAAGATATCTCTTATCTCGATAAGAAAACACGTCAAACGAAAATATCTCTTTTATTTTAGATTACATCACGAGATATCTCGTCCACAGATGCAAAAGAGTTAAAATTCCACAATTTGAAAATTTCTTCCTCTATAAAATGCATATATTTAATCTCTCAAGTCTCAAGTTTTGAATTCTCAAAGAGAAACATTCAGGCTGAGATCGGGCTGAGAGAGGGGCTTCGATATATCATATTTCTGAACCCAACTCGGACTGTACACAAGTTTATCACTTTCAATAACTAGATCTATAATTAACGCGCTTCCCAAACCAATCAAATCCATCCTAAAGTCTCATTAATATAAATAGCATCATTCTCCCTGGAAAATTATTCCTACGATCTTAATTGGCAAAGCAGAAGTGCCAACACATCCCATCATCCGATCCCGGCCGAATCGCAAGCCCAAGCCCCCACCCCACGCTATTCCTACGCTATTTACCCATCACCCACAGCGTGAATCCATCCAACAAATCTACTCCCCTCCTCCCCCTATATCGACTGACCTTTTAGACATCGATCTCCTGACCGACGTCCCGGAAGTGCAGCTCGGCGTACTGCATTATCGTAGGCGCGGACGGCGATCTCCCGTCGCCCAAATTCGACGACAGTCTCTTCGACTTGCTCCTGCTCTTCGTGTCGCCCGTGTCCGCGTAATGCGTGGCGCCCTCTGCCGGGCAACGGTTAGACGACTGCCGTTCCCATATCTGTTGGCGGGAGCTAGGATTCGTTCTGTGATAATCGGTGGGACACTCCGCTATGTCGTCCTCGTAGTAATGGGGATAAGAGATTTTGTACGTCTCGGGTATACCGAGCTCCTGCACCTGGTGAAAACTCGTCTCGCAGGAGGGGGCGCTCGCGTACGTCTCCGCCCTCCTCGAGGCGGAGGAGTCCACCGGCCGCCTCTGCTTCTGCTTCCTCTCGCCGCGCTTGTGCTTCCTGTATTTCTGGCCCCGCTCGCTCGACCGGTTCGCCGCGTGGCGGCGCGGCTGTCTCGCGGGGTCGTGGTTCGCGTAATTCTGCTGCTCCTCGCCCATGTGATTCTCGTTGGGCTGAGCGAAAGGTGGCGGCCGGCTGTTCGCGTGCACGTACGAGGTCTGTAAGGGGCTAACTATCGAGGAGTGGTAGAGGCTGCGCGTTAGTGGCAGTGTTAGTTGGCTGGAACTGTTGCTCGGTAATGGGTAGCTGTACTGCTGCATCTCCTGCCTGTGCTGTTGCTGGTAGTGTTCTTTGTAGTTGTAGAGGCTGTCGGTCTGCAACAGGCACGGTTAGTCGCTGGGGGGATACGCCCGTCGGGATAGGTGTCGTTAATGCCCGGTTATCGCGATATCGGGGCCGGAGGCGAAATGTTATCTCGTCTTTCGATTTCGAATAATTACACGGGGGAGGTGGATTCGGTCGATGGAGATTATTTTTTCGGCGATACAATAATAAACGTTACCGTGAATTTTTTCAATAGAATGTTCGTATTGCTGAAACGAAATTTTTTCGAAATTCTTCGTCGTTATAATCTTAAATCAGTGGGATTTGTTCGATTTTTTGAAACGATCGAAAATGAATAAGTGTGTACGAATTATGATGAATGAGAATTAATTTTAATAGAAATTTTTTCGTTCGATTCGGGAAACGAATAGAACGAGAATATCGTAGTATCGATCGTATCGGCAGATATAACATTTGAACGGAGAAATTTCCATGCCGTTATTATTTATTTCATCGCGTGTCATCGCGCTTCAAGATCTACAAACAATGTGTCTATCATGTATGATTAATAATATTGATTTTCGAGTCGCTTCGACATGCTTAAAAAAAGATACGTCCATCATATTTGATCGACACGCGAGTCAACTTTGTTAAGACTATCTAAAAGTAAAATCCACCGCTATCATTTCAATATTTTATCATCCTCTCATCTTTTCTATTATTTCTATATCCTTTTCCAAGACTGACAATATCTCTCGTCAAACCATTTCTAAATCGAATAATAATTTTAAACTAAAAAAAAATGAATATTTTCTAACAAATTTTCCACAGTTCGGAGAAACTTTCTTCGAAAAACATATCATCGAAACGGATATCAATAACTTTCAAGATAAAAAGTATATATATATATATATCTTTATATGTATCTTTATGCTTGAAAGAAATAACAATATCATCCTTTCAACTCGAATCTCGTTCTCTCTCGAAATTTCATTTGAAAATAGTAGGCAATGACCATCGATCGGAATTCTCCTGAAACGTAAATCCAACGCGCGCATACTTGCACAGCAATCCGGGGAATGAGCGAAACATCGTTATCGCGCTACCACTACTTTCTAGTCGAAAGTACTCGTTATAACGCGGTTGGATCGTTTGAAGCTCGCGTCGCATCTTGAAAAGAATTTTCTTCCCTTTTCTTTCCGCGATAAGCGACTTTGCGAGCCGTATCTCCACCGTTTCTACAGTGGTACAGCATCCACCGAGTAAATATCTCTTTACAGTCTCTTTAAAACAATACTTGGCTCGGTGCAAAAGAGACGTTTTCAAAAAAAAAAAAAAAGACGAAACGGGATGAAAGGTAACGAAAACTGGGAAGAGAAAAAAGGGTAGGGTATACAGAGACAGGCGCCCTTAAAAGGATTCGAGAAATAATATTTCACCTCCTTCCCCCCACCTCCCCCCCTCTTTTCTTTTTTCACGAATCGGGTTGAAAAGCTTGGCGGCAAGCGGAGTTGTGCGTTGTCCACGTTGTGTGAGTCGTTATTCGAACTGTGTCTGTGTGTGTCTCGGTGTATGCGCGCGTGGAAACTTACTTGATAAGCGGCCGACATACACAAGGACGGCTCGCTACATAGGTGGCCAGATCCAGCTTAGCAGGGAAAATATGATTTCCGATTATAACTGGGCAACTCCTGCAACTCTACCTCCTATTTTCTCGAAGCTGCTGTTTTATATCTATTGCGGAAACGTAAATCGTACTCATGCAGTTGGTGCGAGAGATGCTCTAATTATCAGAGACTGGTGCTCGAAAGGAGGACAGGATTTACACTTTGCCCCCTCCTCTCGAATTACGTTGCTGCCCCCCGCTGGATCGTTCCTCTCCACGAGAATCTCGGTTATAATTCGAGAAAATAACTGTCGTGTTGGTGTTGAAATGTTTTGAAGCCCGTAATTAGCCATTAAACTCATTAGAGACGTTGTATCGAACGTGAACGATCCACTTTTTAAACGAAATTTGAACATTGAGAAAGAAGCTAATAATCTTTCCAACTTTTAACCAGTCGACGAACGTTCGATCCGATGAAAAATGGAAACGCGGCTAAATAAACCGCGGAAAAACATCCCTCCTTATCAACACTGAACTGAACATTTGAACGTTGTAAGAAAGAAGGAGACGGCGCAAGAGGGAAAGAGATTCGTCGATCGATCACCGTTGGAACAAGCGATCAATCCCTCGCAAGAAACGGATCCCTTTCACGGAGGCAGCAACGTTCTTCCTCCTCGAGGGGGGCAGGCCAATAATACGGGTGTAGGAAGAAGGGGCACGAGAGTGTCGACAAACCTTGGCTCCATTGGGCAACGGGGCGTTTTTCGTGGGAAAAACGGGAGTGGGGACGTTTTGATACGTGTGCTTCGAGGGATCGGTCCTCCTGCACTTCCTGGGCGCGGGCACAGGTGGCGCCTTCGGCGCCTCTTCTCCTTCCTCCTCGTCTCTCGACCGAGTCTGATCGCTTTGAGCATCCACGACGGTGGACAACGAAGGTGTGCCCGATCTCACGATCGTGGTCACCGTGCTCGCGCTCCCGCTCTTGTGCGGGCACTTGTATATCGGTATAGCGTAAAGCTGATACTTCCTGTGGATCTGCTCCTCGTTCTCGGCCCCTCGGCACAATCTGAGCGAGTAGAATTGGGAACGCTTGTTCTTCCTTCGCCGTGGCTTCAAGCTGTTGTACTTCAGCACGGGCGAATTGCTCCTGGGCATGTTGTAGTCGCTATAGTGGGGGCCTAGATGGCTCCTGGTCGACTCGTAACCGGAACTGGCGTCGCATAGCGACACCGTTCTGCTGGGCGGCCGCGAGGGGCACGGCGAGCTTGGCACGGAACGGTGATGATGATGATGATGGTGGTGGTGGTGGTGGTGCAACGTGCCATGCAAAGCCGAAACTCGGGCAAACATAGGGGTAACCAACTAAAACAAAAGACAACCGGCCGCTACTTATGCTCCATCCCTCTTTCCACTCCAATCTGCTTACGATTCGTATGTGTCTTTTTTTATATGGACGTTTACGAGATTTAAATACGAGAAAACATTGTTTTTTTTTTTTTACGCAATGAATGTTTGCAATGGATGTTTATTGAAATTCGAATTTGTAGTTCGAGGGAGGAGGATTTTATTTTATTTACTTTTTGATTGGTAGTTTGTGTTTGCATTGCTTGCTTTATACCGTCAGATCGGATGGATAGAAATCGAAGGAAATATTAGCATTAAAGAAGAATTGGAGTAAATAAGTGATCCTGTATATTAAATATATTTATATTATTGTTTTGGCTATCTCAAAGTAAAATTTAATTAATCTAATAGTTTGGTGTATAATAATATAATATTGAGTGTAATTTGTGATGATATAATTTCGATATAATTGGAGTGAAAAGAATTGAAACCCTTGAGACGGTTCAGTGGTGAGAAAAATGGGAAATAATTTTTAATTAATGAGATTCTATTAGAAATAAAATCGAATATCATTCAATTTTTCATTTGTTTTGCACAAACCGTTAATACAAAAGCAGCTATTATTTAATCCACTTTCCATTGTTCCGGGATATTTCCGCATTTAATTTCGAATAACACCAAAACACGATCGAAAGTTTCTAACGCGGAAAATAGGCGAGAAATTTATGCTATCATCCGTTGAAATAAATCTTCCTCGAATGAATTATTCCTATTTTAAACGCACAATGCTTCTGTACATATCTCTAGCAGATAATTTTCGACACACGCACTGAACTACCTTTGGGTTTCGTACAAATCGTCAAATTGCAGCCAGTTCATTGCTTCGAAAAAAATACGTAAAGCATATTCAAGACAAAATGGAGTTAAGCATGAGATAAAACTTTCTTTTTTGTGATATAAATAATTTTAAAATTATAGAATATATTTTTTCTTTCATCTCATTTAACTTTATCGAGAGGGCTCTTTAAAAATACAATCTCTAATCCAATTACACGCAATAAATAAAAAAAAAAATACTGCAAAATATTCTTTCCAATAGAATGACAAGAATATAAATTATACCAAACTATCTCACTATCCATTCGTTTGTCCGCTATCGTCACCAAACCGGAGATAGAGATACTCATTCGTAACAGAGACCGTTTTTTGTCCAAAAAATCCGTTCACCAACCATTGGCCGAGCTATTGTCGTTCGAAATGTCAACTAGCGCCGTGCAAGCAAACAGGCGAAACGGGCAAACTGGCTGCAGAATGAGATCCGGTCATCGAGAGGGCTATTGTCGCGTTTGCTTCATTTCAATCTGAGCGGGCAAAATTGTCAGTCGGTTCCAGGCTCTTCCAAGATCAACGGGCGAATAAAAAGCGAGAGAGAGAGAGAAAAAAAAGAAAAAAAAAAGAAAGAACAAAAAGGAAACAAGCTGCTCTATAGCTGCTCCACTCTGTTCTCTGATCATTCCACTTACCTGGTCACGTTGATTCCAGTGCCAATGTTGAAAAATTAATCGTCGTCACAATCCATAGAGAATTAAGAAAAAAGAAAATCGATCGATATGACGTAAAAATACTTGGATAATTATTTTCAACAAAAAAAAAAAGAAAAAAAAAAAGTTACCACTCTCTTGACAATTTTCCAATACATTTTAACTGCAAGTTAAAACCTTTTTACAACATTCAGTTCAGACTGATAAGCATTAAAAAAACGACGCAGTAAAAAGAAAAGAAGAAAATCATCAAGATCCAAAAATTAAATAATAGCTTTCCCGATAAATCGACTGAAAAAAAGAAGGAAAAACGATATTACACAAGAGAGAGGATCGTGCGTGCGAAAAGATTCGCGAGTAAATTTGTTGGAACGAGGAGTTGGGTGTTGGAGAATTAATATGTTATCTCTCTGTGTAATTTTGACACGGCCTCGATGCGCAATATCGATCAATCCGCCGCGTCGATGACGATTTATGACGGCCACGACTCGTTTCCCGTTTACCAACGGACGTCGGCGTGACGGGCCCGTGGTTTGCACGGATTCGCCTGAATATCCATTCATTAACCCTTCACGCTTCTGCTACACACACACACACACAGAGAGAGGCCGTTGCTTTATCGACGCCACCATCTCGCCATCCCCGAACGAATTTCACGGTTTAGGCGGTTGATTCTCGTCGGCGCGAGAAGTTTCCGCGACACTTTTCAGCTTGGAATCTTTTGTTTCGCTTTACCACCGCGTGGCGATGGGTTCCAGTCGAATGAATTAAGGGTTGCTAAATAGATGCACGATTTATTTATTTATTTTTTTTTTTTGGATTGATCCGTTTGCAAGTTTTATAATAGTTGCTGCTGGTGAAATGCATTTTATGATGGAATTAATTAATACAATGGATAATAATAATTGGAGATACATTTTTTTGCAAAGGATTAATTCATCTGATGTTATAAATAATTATTGTGAAATTATTTTTAATTTATTTTATTGCAAATTTGGGAACATTCGCAGTACGGATATTTTTACTTTACAGCAAGAAGATGTTTGTTTCGTGTAAAAAATATTAAATTTTAATCATGCTCGTCCCAAAACGAGCACTTCGATGTTGAAAAACTTTGCAGACGTAAACTTGGTATGTAACTCAACTTTATGATTTAATTTGATTAATTTTATAACGACACGAAAGTCTTTAAAAGTCTTGGAAGTAGGGCAAATCGCGCTCCTCTCTACAAAATGAAGGGATGAAACGAGTGAATCTTGTGAAACAATGAAAATTATCTTGCAATCTTAAATCGCAATCCTTTTCTAATTACGAATACAATGAAGATATTTTATACAATTTACTCGTAATTAAACGTAGGAAAATTAAAAAAGTAATTTAACCTGGCCCGGTATTCGAATTTTTCTTTTGTTAAATTGACATGCTGAAGTTAAATGGCATGGTAAATGCAATTATGTATATTAACAATCTCGTTTGTCGTGCATTTAATCCACTCAACTCCTTTCATCGGTATCCTCAAAAGAACAAAGAGCGGTTTATGTTTTTTTATGTCAGTGGGTTAATTTAAAGAGTAAATTAAGGCGCATTGTTCCAGCGAGATTACTGGCCGCATTACTCGCAAAAATTGAAGAGAAGCATGTTATAAAATGATAATGATGCCCATACTCGTGCCGATGAATTTAATTTTTAATTAAAAAAAAAAAATCCAAAATTTTAAAATCTTTTTTTCAATCAAACTCTCCCAACATTCATAATAATAATTAGTCGAAAACAACGAAATTTCATTTTAATTGAAAAGATTCAAAAATAAGTATTATACGAATATTTACAGCGATTAAAACATCCCATCTTTCGAATTATATATTATCCAAAACTGTCAACGAATATTAATTTTCCGAAATCAATCTCTCCTTCTTCCAACCCTTCCATTTTTCCCCAACTTGGACCAGAGACCAGACTCCAATTCCAACAAATTCCTCCAAACATCCATTCACCCCTCCCCCAATAAAATCCTGTCTCGCAACATCGATTCCCACTCTATCTCCTCCTCAAAAACTCTTCCTCGCAACTTTGTAACCGCTTGTCTGAAAGGAGCCGCAATTAACCCCCTTCCCCAACCTCCGCCAAGGGCCGAGTTCGAACAACCCTTACACATTCACCATCCGCCATGCCTAATAGTCTTCCTCAATTTCCCAATGCGCTCAATTATCGAGCAACGTTAATCGTCGAACACGTATCGGTTCGTTAATTGGGGAAGGGTTGGCTGCGACAACAACAAACAACGAATCGACAACCGCTTGCAAAAGGTCAAACACGGCGGTAAAAGAGGGGCAAATGCAATGCAACAACAGGTTACAGTTGGCCGATCAGGTAAGGCACGCAATTATTGAAATGGATGGACGAGCCCGAGAGGAGGGTGGTTGAAGCGTCGCAGCGGCCGTCGAAAGGGCTTTGAAGGGCGCTCGACGCCGCGTTGCATCTTTAATCAGCCATCGTGGCAATTCCATGGCGTAATCACAGGAGGGCCGGCCCGGCAACGTGAGATGCAAATTGGCCAACATTTATCGACTCGCTGATTATTTAGCGTCTCTAGGAAATTGATCCTGCTGGCTGGCTGGTTCAAAGTGTCAAGATGGATGATCATGCCCGCCCCATTGTCATCGTCCCCCACACACCCGGAAATTTTGGAGGATTTAGTGGAGAATGGACTAATTCCTCGTCTGTTCTGCACGAACAATTTGAACGATGGAATGAGCAAGAAGCACGAATTTATTTATAATACAATGTTTTAAGATTAAGTTCTTCTCGTAGAAATTGTTTAAAGAAAAGTTTAATCGGGTTTTATAAATGACATTTTTCTAGAAACCATGTCAAACTTTAACGTGTATAAAGAAATCTTCATCTTTCGAGATTTAGTTTATACTTTTCTAAATAAATTTCCTTCTTGAAAAATGAAGAAATACAAAATTCAAAGGATCCGCAAAGCGAGATAATCAAATTCCAGAAAATTCTCGAAGATCAACTCGTGGTGCTCGAACAACTCGTTTAGACGATCTGATCTGACCTGTGTCCGGCTCGTTGATGAGAACTTCGCCTCGCGGGCTAATTATTTTCTCTTCTGACATTTTTCCCTCGCCTCCCTCCCCGCCGGTTTCACCCTCAATCGGAACAATAACGCTTCCTTGACGTGATCACGGCCCCAGAAGTTTCGCTCGTTTCCATTTCCGAAATTAGGGGCGTTCTCCACCCCATCGGGGGCGGGGAGGGAACTTTTATTCATTGTTATCCGCTCTTTGATGTCGAAAGTGGACGGCGAAGCGCGTTGCCAGTTTTCAGTTAAACGTTTCCCCTGGCAAAACACAGGCGAAAACTGCGATGAACGCTCGTCGTTCGACGAGCGTTTTTTAGCGAAGCTGCTTTGCAATTCCAATGGGAGAGAGAGCGAGAGCAATACTTTTCGCCGAATTATTAGGTTGA